GAGAGAGAGAGAGAGAGAGAGAGAGAGAGAGAGAGAGAGAGAGAGAGAGAGAGAGAGAGAGAGAGAGAAAGAGAGAGCTGAACATGGCTTGAAGAATTGTCATTCTTATTGTTAATGAATTTTACACCTGGATCTGCTTTGGTAGTAGATGACAGTTCTCAAGTACTTTTTTTGAACCTGTATGCAATGAGCAGTGGTGTGGACCGTGTAGTGGGGATCACTAGCCCCCAGTGTTTGCAAATCAAAATCCTACAGTATCAGGAAATATAACCCTTGCTGCTTACGGGAGGGCTCACTGACTGGTTGAGTGCACGCTGGAACCTGGTGCAGCTACGTGCACAGAGCAGCACATGATGAGATCCCTCCTGTTTGTTATTGTCGTTATCTAGTATGCACTATGTACACTATTTTTTATTTTGTTTTTTGTTTAGCTTGTTTACATCTTATTAGCTGAACGTCTTTGCCAAAAATGTTATACTTCTCGGCATGAGAGCAGTGCAGCAAGCTGTTCTTCCAGAAGAAATAGAGATATTTGTTGCAATGACCCAGACTTGCTGCCATCCCCCAAGGTTTTGACATGAATGTTCTTGATTTATGCAGGTGATCTTTCAACCAACTCTGATCGGCAACGAATGTCAAAGTTTGCATGACCTTGTGATCAGTTCCATTGCCCGAGCGGACCTTGATGTGCGGCGAGTTCTGTATCAGACAATTGTTCTGAGCGGTAATGTCCTCTGCTTTCTTGTGTTTCGATTTGGGGGAATGTTTGGGGGAATGGAATCACTTTAGTCGGTTGATTTAGCATCTTTGGGTTGGTAAAGCCGTATGGATCCCCGTGAGCTGAATGCACGCATGTGCAGCTGTACCTACTTTGCAGCTGAATTCAACAGTTGATATGAATTCAAAGTCTGTCTAGCTTTTGTAAATGGAATGCCTTTTTTGCGGAAGGCGAGAGGCCTTCCGGCCTCGTCACGCAGGAGCAAAAGAAAAAACAAGGCGGACATCCCAGCGCTGCCGTCTCGCCGCTCTAGCCGGGCGCGCCAACTGTACTTCCCGCGGTCCCCTACGACAAGATAGATTCTCGTGAGGCACAACTTGCCTTTCCTAAGGGGCTGTCACCACCCTTAGGGGCGTATCCCTACCGAGCTACAAACCCACGTACGAAAATTTTTACATGCAATCGCAGAGGTAGATCAGCTGAGGACGTTTGCTCGTTCGCTGCAGTACAGGTACGCTCAGTTAAAATGCCTACTAAACCCGGATGTCGTCCGTCCCCTGGGGCGCTGATCTCCCAGGTACGAAGCGGACACCGGTCGACTAGGACAGTCTCAACCAAGCATTTAACCGACAAATAATCCTAGTCCCTTTACGTCTTGTTGAAGATAACACAAATAAAATTAATACGCCTCAAATCCAATTGCACAAGATCAATTCTGGCCACATCGGGGAGAACGCCAACCGATGAAGAAACCGACGCCGATCAATTTTTGACTTGATGAAATGATATGGCAAAGTTATTCATTCCGACCTACCTACCATGGACCTAAGACTAGGCGTACACACCCGTCTCCATACATTTTAGTCTACTTTGATGGTAGGCTAGTTTGCAGATGATTCTTGATCTGGTGCATTGCTTGAAATGTTGCCTGTCCCACGCTCTAGGAAGTGGTTTGCGGTACTCCGCCTCCTCGCCCGAGCACAAAGCTCGGATCTCAGAGGTCAGGCCGTCTCCACCGAATCGGCAAGTCCCCCCCCGTAGAATGATCCACTCCGGGTCGATAACAGGGCCGGCTCCTAAAGCAACGAACCCCCGCCCTAGATACTTATAGACAGAGAGAATATGTTTACCACGAGTAAATTTCAGTTATTCTCATTTTTCCTAAGCTCAGACTCGCTCGGTTGTTATGTAGGTTAGGTTCCATTTCAGTACCCCAACGACCGTGCGTCTTAGTAACCCCGCCAAAAGGAAATGTTGGCGAGCTGCAGGACATGGCTGTGCAACACGGCGCAATATTGTTTTGTTTTTTTGTTTTTTCGTCTACTTCAAGGCATCGGGGGCATGAGAGAGAGAGAGAGAGAGAGAGAGAGAGAGAGAGAGAGAGAGAGAGAGAGAGAGAGAGAGAGAGAGAGAGAGAGAGAGAGAGAGAGAGAGAGAGAGAGAGAGAGAGAGAGAGAGAGAGAGAGAGAGAGAGAGAGAGAGAGAGAAAGAGAGAGAGAGTTCACATTGATCAGTTGTTTCCACCACGAATGAATTATCTGTTATATTTGTTTGCTTTGCGAGCGAAGCCGCAACATGTCATCTAGTGTATGTTGAAAATTGAAATAGGTCATTATATTTTCATTCTTAGCATTTTTGTTGCATTAGCCTACAAAAACAAGAATCTATCTTTTGTTTGTTCAGATGTAATGCATCTTTCAGTTCCAATGCGTGGGATTCGGACGCGAAGCATCTTCTCTTTTAGCCTTGTTATATTCACATATAGTTGTTTCTATAAAGTGGTCGAGTTCCTCAAGGTATACATTTGATAGTACGGGACGCCGCCTGCCGGCGCCTATGATTGCCTCTTCCGTGTGGCATATGAAAAACAGCTTGTAGTCCAGAGCGGATTCGTTTGAAAATCGGTTTATTTCGGATTGTTAGCTGGATTATCTTATACAGACTTCCATGATTGCCTCTTCCGTGTGAGCACTACGTCCCGGTCTGAAGCCATGTGAATAAGTGGGAAAGTAGGCTTCATAGATAGGTTCTAAGATTATTGATCATTATTCTAAGAACTTCTTGGCAAGTCTATATACTCTACCATTAAGCTATTTCCTCCATCAACCCACTTTGTGGTGCGCTCGCCGTGCAAAAGAAAAGAAACGCTCTTGCAAGTCGATCTTGCCAGTAGAGCACAGTGGGCCTATGTAGATATGAAGTATTATGAACTACGTACGTTACCAAACGTACACGTACGCGGCCTTTTCGTACGAAACATACAGGTAATATCTGTACGGGAACCTGTACGTCTTGTACTCGTACGGGGAAAAAAGAAAAAAAAGTCATCAAAAAAATCTGAAAACAAAAAGTGTTGCATTGGCACAAAACAACCAACATTTGGCTGAGCGTCATATGCAGATTCTTATTATAATTTGAGGGGGGGGGGGAAAAATGTCATATGGGCCCCTAGCGTACGAGTAGCGTACGAGTACAGGAGTATGAATCGTACTCGTACGAGGGTGCGTACAAGTCGCAACGTAGTGAACTACTGCTTAAAAAAGTTGAAGGTCTCAGGTTCAAATCCTGTAGGATTCTTCGGGAGAGTGGCCGAGTGGTTAAAAGCGACAGATTGAAAATCTGTTGAAGCTTATATTTCTACGTGGGTTCGAATCCTGCCTCTAAGGCAATAAATATATTAATATTAATACATATATATACAGGGTAACCGGCGTTCGGGATGGGCCGAACGCCCGAACCCGAACGCCCGAACGTATGGGACCCCTTGGGGATGCGTTCGGCCGTTCAAGCCGAACATGGACCCAAAAAAAAAAAAAAAAAAAAAAAAAAA